GTTTTCCCTGCACCGTTTCCACCTGTAGATGGTGAACTGATCAGTATTAACGGAGGAGACACTTTTACCAGGACTCAGACTTTACCCAACAAAGAGAAGGTAGGTCCTTAATGCTAAGTGCTTGTAAAATATAACAGTGCGATCACAAAACTGAATACTTTTTTTGCTCATGACTCTCAATGTGCGCAGATATAGCATCAATGTTGCATTATTAGTAAGGCGAAAAAACACTATGACTTACTCCCACAGTATCAAGCATGTAACATCATCGAACAGAACTTCTCACAACAGATCAACTACACCTTCAGGCTAGAACATGTTAAAGACTAGTACCACAAACTGTAAGATAACTTATAATCCTTTCAGTCCATCAGCCACATGTTCTCTATGTTAAGTGGTCTATCACAGATGCAATTAAATTTTTTTTTTCCATAAATAGCTAATGTGTCATAGTGGGAGTGATTGAACTAGTATTTCTTCTTAAGTGTTGGACATTGTCTTTGTTGCATTCCGCTGTAAACTAAGCTGCTGTTCCGCATGCTAAAAGAAGTGAGTAATTGAAACAATCTAAGTTGTTTTGTACTTCACTTGAAACAATAGTCTTTGTGGTCCTGAGCCGACAAGCTCACGTTTATCTGTTTTGTATCAGTCTGCTGAAATTTTCGGGGTCTTCTGAGATTGAATGTGAATTTCAAGAAGCGCTGTCCATGGTGCTGAACACTGTTTTAACGGTTGGTTTCTGCACAGTTCTGTACATAAAAAATATATATGTGTATTGTAAGTATGGAAGTTGTAAAGTAGGCACATTTCTTAAATTAGAAGCCAAGAAGTTTCCTTTATTGAGAAGTTGAATTATGTGAGCGCTGCAATAGCTCGTTTAGTCACTCAAATATTGATCTTTATAATCAATCCAAGTTTGTCCTATAATTATTTTTATTTCTTACAAAGTAAATCGAAAATGCAGGCCCTTCATAACGGTGTTAGTGATGTGGCAAAGTGGTACACTTTATTTTATGTGGTGACCAGTGATTCACCACATGAGGTCGCAGGAGACCGTAGACTTGAATTTATTTGTACATCCAAAACTCCTCCTCCCTGCGTGGAAAAAAAATAATTCCTCCTCGATCATGAGCACACCCGCGGAAGATGCTGTGACGGGAAAGGCAGGAGCTACAACAGTATTTGCCTCGGATGGAAATATTTCTATTGCGGATAAATGACTATTCGAGTTTACTTCTTTTGGTGCATCAGTAGTGAATATGCGACGACAAAAGGAATACGTCTGGATCCACATTGTTGTGTTTCTTTGTCTTTGTGACTGGTCTGCGTCGCAGTTATCCTACTCGATTTCCGAGGAGGTGAACAAAGGCACCGTCGTGGGGAANACTTTTACCAGGACTCAGACTTTACCTAACAAAGAGAAGGTGAGTTGACCATAACCTCAGAGTAGATATGGGCTTTGGGCCATCGGATTATCAGATTTGAGACGTTTTCAAAATGTTATTACTTTTCCTGCGATTTTATGTAGTCTGTGGCAATGACGTGATGAAAGCCGTATTTGGGGGAATTTAAATATCTGTTACTTTCATTACCCTTTTTCCAGAAAGCTGTTCACTAGTTTGATGCTGCATGTTTAAGCATTTCCAGACAGTTGGTGAATAATAGCATTTGAAGCAGAGGGTTCATTGAGATTTCAGTCAAACTGCTGACCAGCGGGGTCGCTGTCTATGGTGCTGAACTGTGGACAGCGCTATTGCGTACTCGGACAAAGCTTGACAAGCAGAAACCTTAACTGCAAACTGTGTGTCACTTGATAAATAGGGCCTAAATCGTACCTGGCAACACATACCTGAAATAGCCTTTACTTACGCACGAGAAACTGCCTTTTGTAGTGAACGACGTTGCATTTTCCACTTAAACTGAATTTTTCTGCGCTTTCACTTTCTACACAAATCAGCTGTACATACGATAAGTACTATTATTTCCTATTTGTAGTGAGGAATAGAAGTGTTTATATATTAGCACCAAAGTAACAGCTGGTGTCGCTGGAGACCACTGATATCTGTGTGGCTCCTTTTTCCCCCCCAGACTCCTCCTATCCGTGCGAAGCATCAGTAGGAAACCAGTGCTTTGTCAGAAAATACACAAATGGTCACAGGACAAAACGGGATTCGTCTGGTATGCACCTCAAATGTGGACATGCTTAAAAATTATATATTTTTTTCATTTTGTGGCAGCGATGGGACCTGGACGACTAAGACTCACAATCTGGATACAAATAATAGCTTTGCTTTGTTCGTGTGCCGCGTCGGCAGCGCAGCTCTCGTTCTCCGTTTCCGAGGAGGTTGACAAAGGGACGGTGGTAGGAAATCTCGCAAAGGATTTACAGACTAATGTTAACGAACTGGAAAAGCGTGATTTACGCATCGTGTCTGGGAATTCTAAGAAATATTTTGACGTGGATTTAAAAACTGGGGCGCTGTTTGTTTGCGATAGGATTGATCGTGAAGAGCTCTGTCCAAACACGGCAAAATGTTCTTTAAATATAGAAGCCATTCTGAGCCACCCGATGCATCTGCATCGCATTGAGGTTCAGATTACTGATATCAACGACAATGCACCATCTTTTCGTGAAAAGGAAAAGACTTTAAACATTTCGGAATCGTCTTTTACTGGTGAGAGGTATTTACTCCCAATGGCAAACGACGCAGACACAGGCAGTAACTCTGTAAAAAGCTACAAGCTGAGTGCAAATGAGTATTTCTCACTGGACGTACAGAGCAGCGGACAGCACAGCGAGTCTGCTGAGTTAGTGCTGCAGAAATCTCTAGACAGGGAGAAAAAACCTGTCATCCACCTAATTTTAACTGCTCTGGACGGAGGAAAGCCTGCCCGATCAGGGACATTAAAAATAATTGTACATGTTATGGATATAAACGATAATGCTCCCGTATTTAGTCAGCCTCTGTATAAGGCCCAGGTCACTGAAAATGCTCCGTTTCAGACCTCCATTCTGACTGTAAGTGCTACAGATTTGGATGAGGGAATAAATAGTGAAATAGTGTACTCATTTATTGAAAGGGGAAATTTCAATCCTGAGGCATTATTCTCAATAAACCCTGGCACAGGGGAAATAATTGTAATAGGTAAAGTAGACTATGAAGAAAATACAGCATATGATATCCGTATACAGGCAAGAGATAAAGGTACACCTTCACGAAGTGTACATGGCAAATTGTTAGTCGAAGTAGTTGATGTTAATGACAATGTACCTGAAATCACTGTCACGTCTCTTATGAGCCCAGTTAAAGAAGATGCTGAGATAGGTACAGTTGTTGCTTTGGTGACTGTCACTGATCAAGATGGGGGCAATAATGGTCTTACCAATGCAAAAATTCTTGGGATGGTGCCTTTTAAACTTAAGTTAAACTACAAAAATTATTATTCATTAACAGTTGATGGAGCTCTTGACAGAGAGAGCGTTTCTCAATATAATGTTACCATCATAGCCACTGATGAAGGCACGCCACTTCTTTCCAGTACCAGAGTTATTCCTGTACACATTTCTGATGTGAATGACAACGCCCCTCTATTCTCAGAGCCTGTAGTTAATGTATATGTGAAAGAGAATAGTGCAGTGGGAGCTACTATTGTCATTATAACTGCAGCTGACCCTGATATAGAAGAAAATGCTAAAGTAACATATTCACTTCTAAATGGCTTATCAAAAANGATGGGGAACTGATCAGTATTAATGGAGGAGACACTTTTACCAGGACTCAGACTTTACCCAACAAAGAGAAGGTAGGCTACACATTGCAATGAAGGTCAGAATACTGGATTTAGGACTCATACAATGTTGATTATAATGAGGCTGTTATCACTGACTGCTCTTCAATCAGTGTACTTTGACATAACATGTTATGAAAGGGTGCATGAATGTCAAGGCAATGAAGGCATGAAAACAAACTCTTCGTCATTTTTTGAAAAATAAATAGAATATATCGCATGTCAATCTTTTATGGAAATTACCAGCATTTGAGAGCACATGAAAATCCCGCATCACAACTACAAGTTACAACATGACTAGTAAGTCTGTCAAAATGTGTGCCATATAGCTTGCTCATGCCTAAATTTCACCTCTTCATTAAAACACCACTGCAACAATGCGTTTCAGACCACAAACTAATGTTACCACTTAGTCTAATAACAAAGAATGAGTAAAACTGTATGTGTCTTTAGGAGACAATGTCACATATAAAAGAAAAATAATTTGAAAATGTATGAAAAATATTCCAAAACGTTTAAATCTTAGCATTGCTCAAAGTGCTTTTCTCTTCAACTGGCTGTCCTTTCAACTGATCTCAGCAATGTATGTTAACTTGACTGTGCAAATCATAACATATATCGCTAGTCATGTTGATAAAACTGAAGTAACTGATTTCAGGCGTCTGCTCTGAAACATCGCTTCAACATTTTCAGTCAACAGTTGGGAGTATTTTTACAAAACGAGACTGAATGGCGCTCTCCGTGGTCCTGAATTTAGACCCTGTGGTTTCTGCACCGTACCCTTTGAAACAGCTATCTTTTGATAATTTTCTAGTTGTTTATTATTAGCATTGGTAATGGAAAAAAAATGTTTTAAGTACTGTATATGAATTGTAGGAGAAAATGCATTACGTTTGTAAAATTCTATTACGTTTTTTGGATTTTCCACCGGATTGTCAGGCTTTTTTAGGATTTATCTTTGGGTGACAGTTGCACTGATCCCACTAGATCTTAAACTTTATGTTCAAATATTATATATTGGTGTCTATGAGTGCATAGGTGGGGGGACGATGATTCCTTTTAATGGAGATCAATCACCTTGCGAGGATGATTCTCATTTCGTACCATTTTGCAAATTACTTGACTTGGTTTTGGTGAACATGTACAGTCTTTACTACTCACCACAAGATGTCGCTGGAGACCATAGATGGAAATGTGTTTGATTATCCAAAACTCCTCCTCCGTGCATGGGCAAAAAAAACTCGTCATCGTTCATCATAGTTTCCTGGACACTCGATGGTACCGTGACGAGAAAAGAAGGCGCTGTAACAGAACAATATTGCCTTTGAAGGACATACCTAAACTGCGGATAAATGATCTACTGGGTTCACCTATTTTGCTGCATCAACGATGTTTGTGCGACGACAAAATGGATACGTCTGGATTCATATTGTTGCGCTGCTTTGTCTTTGTGACTGGTCTGCTTCGCAGTTATCCTACTCGATTTCCGAGGAGGTGAACAAAGGCACCGTAGTGGGGAATATCGTGAAGGATTTAAACCTCAATTTACAGGAACTGGAGAGCAGGGATCTTCGTATTGTGTCCAGTTTCAGTAAGGCATATTTTGACGTTAATTTGCGAACCGGGAACCTCTTTGTTGACGAGAGAATAGACAGAGAAGAGCTTTGTCCGCATGTGGCAAAATGCTCTATTAAAATACAGGCTGCTTTAAACAATCCAATGAATGTACACCGCATCGAGGTCAATATTCTCGATATAAATGACAACTCGCCTTCTTTCATCGAACAATCGCATTTATTAAACATCTCTGAGTCACTGTCGCCGGGAGAGCGATATCTTCTCCCTGTAGCAGAAGATGCAGACATAGGCAGTAACTCAGTAAAGAGCTACAAGCTGAGTCAAAATGAACATTTCTCTCTTGACGTGCAGAGCAGCGGAGAACACGGTGTGTCTGCTGAGTTAGTGCTGCAGAAAGCTTTAGACAGAGAAAAACAACCAGTAATTAAACTTATCCTGACTGCCGTAGATGGCGGTAAACCGCCTCGATCAGGGACTTTGCAGTTAGTTGTTAATGTTATAGAT